AATCAAGGCCGCCTATCATGTCTGAACGTTGAAGCGTTTTGAACCTACCAGCGTGGCTACTCGGTAAATAAGACAACTGCATGCGAACTGTGTGGACGTGTGAAAGAATGCGCGATATCCACAACATAGCAAAGGAGAGAGCACGATAGTAAGCAGTAAGAAGGAGATGGAATGGAGATGAATCACAGGCACAATCCTTTAGTTGAGCTCTATCTCAAGCAAGCGTTCGGACGAGTAATCACACACCATTCCTCACATCGCGGTCGGGAAGGTGGCTTCGCAACAAAACGATGCTTCCAACTAGCGCGTCACAAACAACAATTATATAATGGAAAACCCAGAATACCAAAGAAGAGCTGTAATAACACGCCGCATGCCTCGCAAATGAATGAGACGGCGACGGAATAAAGATGTACGCAACGAGCGAGGACCTGACTACCAAATATATCAAGCGGCGCCGCACGCTGTTCAGCACAAGATCCCTGCATGACTTGCTCCGGCACACAGTGTCCAAACAACGCGTCCGTCCAAGACGCATCTACAACATGAGTCGGGCGACGGCACCAGAACGATTGTGGCCAACGACGATTTTATGCCTAATGGAAAATTGCGCGGCGGACAATAACAAGCAACCGGCAGATTCGCTGAGTGTAGCAGCCCAGCAAGAGAGACGGCACGGAGTCGGAAAGAAAATAGGGAAGTGAACTGGATTATGGTGTCAACCAACAAGAGAGCTAACAATGGAGCAATGAGGCCACAGAAGGCATAAGCGACAGCACGACTCGCACACAACGCGCGCCGCACCACACGCAATGTTATCCAAACAATTGTCGTAATTAGCGATAGAGATCGACTCATTACGAAGTGAAGGAGTACGTCTAAAGTCTCGAATAGAAATAGGAGACGTATCGAGACGTCGGTTTCTAAGAATTTTTATATTCTATGCTTACCAATTTCCAAGTAGAACTGCTTATTGTGCATATCGTGGTGGCATACGTTTTCAGCGTTCCAACGTTCAAAAATTCTGGACGTTGCCAAGAGGTTTAAACGTATAAACTTTCTTCCAGCTATGTGGCATAGTTGCATATACGCGCTATACTAACTAATGGAAGGGTCCTAATCATGGGATTGAAACAAAACGAGGAGTACACCGAACTCTCAGAATGAAGGGAACGTTGAGGAATCGGAGGAATTACCTGGCACAAAATTCAGTTTTTTGTTAGCTTGCTCCAAGCTTCAACAGTACAACGTCTGCGATCCTATACATACGGACACGCACACACACCAAACGCAGCCCACACACAACACGGAACGCAACACACACGCGCGCACAAGAACCGAAAAATCATTTGCGTTTATGTGGGAAGTCGTGTCTACTCTCAAACGTAAATTCAAAAATATTCAAACTGAAGAAGACCGACGAAGCGCAAGACAATTGCGCGACGCATAAGCGGCGTGGAGACAGCGTCGCGACCAGCAACGTCGCTGCAAAGAGGAAGAACGTGACGACACGTGCACGACACGCGCGACCGTCGCCCAGCAGTTGGGCGCAACAGCGACGGCGAGCACAATGGACAGCGCGCGCGCCAGTACGGCGAGAAAAGCGGCGGATGTGGCCGCGACAAGATCAACACAAAGGTCGACCACGGATCGCGACGACGCATCACACGAACTGGTTCATGCGCCACGGCAGCAGCGCCCACTACACGCGCACCGCTCTCACGCAGACGGCACTCAGCATAACTCGCGGCTCGGAGATACGGGCGCGCAAACTCGCTAACACTACTTTGTGCGCAGGGGACACAAGCGGGGGCAGAAGCACTGGCGAATCGTGGCGCGAGGTATATTGGCGAACACGAGATGGCGATTCAAACCAACCACACACCACGGGAGAAGCCGCTCTTAAAAGTGATGGCTAGCAAGACGCCTTACCCCTTGGGCACCGGCTGATTAGGCTCAGAAACCACACTTATACATCATCTGCAAGTGCTCGACCGGAGGTAGACGCCTCTGATGTCGAAGACGACCACCAAAAACCACGGCCCGCCGCGCACAACACACACGGCACCACGCACAAGATGGTAGGGTACGATTCATCGACACTCAGCGCGACACGTCAAGCATAACTCAGAAGTCTTGTCACGCGCGCAAACACACACACGCGCGCTTACGACTAACACTGACTGGGCGAGAGGTCGACTACAATCGTTTTAGACTGTTCTCGTCGGGAGTTTTCCGTGGTTCTATCTCGTGCAAGTCACAGCAGCGGGCACACCACGAGCGCGCAGGCAGACTCGGCGCGAGCAGTACGCGATCAACAACAACAGCGCGGTCACGCAAACGCACGTCTGCGCACGCTACACTATATTGCTCTGTTCTTCGCGGTCACCTCACACTTCACTCTCAATTTACAGTCACGCACACACACATCGAGCGTCCGAGAACGGGCGACGCTACATAATGCGGGTGCAGGCGAGTGGGACTAAATTAGTGGGTCAAAAAATCCTCGTGGAGAGTGGTAGGTCAGCGTCCCGGCACTGTCGCATCCAGCGACCGGCACACAGACACACCACGTCCACCTTCAGCCGACCTACACAACCCAGATTATTCAGGACACTACCTAGTCAACAACCAACTTATGGGTATACATACATCCCATTCGGCAAGCCCCGAACATAATAATCAACATTAATACCTTAGGACCGCGTGTGTCTCTTGATGAAGGTCCGCAACGCACAACCACACACGCACGCCACCCCAAGCGCAAACACACGCAAGCGCACAACGCGCACAACGCACGGCGGGCACCTGCACGCGCACACACGCACACGCAACAGATCACGCGCAACACCGCACACGGCAACACGCACACACGTCACACGCACACACGAGACGCACACGCACAGCGCCGACGGGCACCGCGCCCACGCGCACACGCGACACGCACACGCGCAAACGCACACAGCGCACACCACACGACACGCGCACACGCACCGCGCATCACGCACAGCGCCACGGACACAACGCACACGCACACACGCACACGCACACACGACACGCGGTTTCACACGCAACACGCAACTCAGCAACGCAACACAGCAACACGCAACCGCACACGCACACACGCACACGCACACACGCACAACGCACGGCGGGGGCGCACACGCACAAACGCACACACGCACACGCACACACGCACCTACGCAACACGC